AAGTGTGGCAAAAGAAAATTATATTCCTAAAATTATACACTGTAAAACCCAAAAAGTTAATGCAACTCAAACCATATGAGGAAACTGATTGCAACAAACCATTTAAGTTCAAATGCTAATCATGATAAGTACTGTGGACTTAATTCATTTGAGCAAACGGAGCAATTTGAGCCCAGTAAAACCCAATAAATGAAGAGAACTCAAACCAACAGAGTACTGTAAAACCCAACAAGTTAAGGCAACTCGAACCATTTGAGAAAACCCATTACAAACTATTTGAGTTAAAAAACTAATCTCTATGAGTACTGTGAACTTACTCCATTTAATTTGAAGTAATGAGGTATTTGATTATCTCATTAACTTCAACACTGAGTTCAGAAATCTCTTCAAATGAGTAGAATTGACTTTCAGTCAATTTTGAGTTAACTACACTCATTTCTTTTGATAAAGTTGACTGTTGGGTTTTACAACGTATGATGAATGTTTTCTTTACAGTAGACTGAAAAAAACAAAAACTTAATGAAACCGTTTGCGATAGAATATCTGATCATTTGTTTTGTGACGATCAAATGCATTTATCTACTCTAAAGATCTACAGAACAGTTAGTTGTGCCATTGTCATCATCCCTATTAAGGTTTTATATTGAATTACTGAGTTTGTCATCATAACCTCTAATAATGACCCACAATGTTCACTGCGCTCTGAATAAAGTCATCAGATAAATAATGGAAAAAGAAAATGAACCAAGACCAAATGCCAGCCAAATAAAAATAGACACAGCCTTTGTGATAAGCTGGATTCATGAATACCATTCCTGTGGCTTTTATTTCAGAAGTTCAAATGTGAGCTGAGGCCATTTCATAGTACTATTATTAGTGTTAAAATGTAATTGTAATTTCATTTTATTTTTTGGTGTCCACATCATCAAATCTGATTTTATATCCCTAAAACAATGTTAAATGTAAAGTGGGAAATGTTTCCAGTAAACTTTCTAAATATATAAAATGACAAAATATAGGTGAAAAAATGTTCAATCTTTAGCAGATTAACTAATTTATTTAAAATATACAAAATATTTTCCTGACCTGTACAAATTAATCATATAATATTATTAATATAGTGGGTACGGAAATTATTCAGCCCCCCTTAAATCTTTCACTTTGTTATATAGAAGAACTGGAGAGGATCTGCAAGGAGGAATGAAAGACCCAAATCTAGGTGTGAAAAACTTGCTGCATCTTTCCCAAAAAGACCCAAGGCTGTATTAAATCAAAAGGGAGCTTCTACTAAATACTGGGCAAAGGCCCTGAATACTTAGGACCATGTGATAGTTCAGTTTTTTTTTTAATAAATCTGCAAAAATGTCAACAATTCTGTGTATTTCTGTCGGTGTGGGGTGCTGTGTGTACATTAATGAGGAAAAAATGAGCTTGAATAATTTTAGCAAATGGCTGCAAAACAACAAAGAATGAAAATTTAAGGGGGTTAAAATGATAAATACATAAGTCATATATTTTTTTTAATTATTAAAAACTGAAAGATTGGTGTCAGTTGCTGACAAAAAAAAAGTAGTTTAAAGGATAGTGGCAAAGTAAAAACATTTGAAATGGCAATTAGTACTTTTGGAGCTTAAATCCTTAAACTGGATTTTTTTCTGTTAAATGATTGTTGTTCTAAATATACTTAATACAATATTTGTTACATAAATAATATTTAAACGGAATGATATTTCCATAGGTGCCTATTTAAACTACATTCTGTAGTAAAAGGGGAAAATAAAGTTGCAGCACACTTGTCAAAAGTGACTTAATAAACTCTAAAGTACGTGTACTGTATATTGTATTAACAGACAAGAAAACCCTTACAATAAAAATTGTTCTGCTTGCCCTGGTACCTTGCCAAGGTGAATGAGATGTGCCACACTGATAAACGGCACTATAGCCTGCTGTATAGGAAAATTCAACAGAGAAAAATGAAGGAATGACATTTGCTGGAAGCGAATAAATAGAGATACTTATCTCAAGTGCTGAATTGCCCCACTATAGACAAACAGCCCCTTCCATCTCAAGAAACCTTGTCAGAGTTCTGCCCAAAGAGGGTCAGAGCTTCAGCGGTCTGTTTCTCTATAAAACCAAACTGGATTTGGAAGTTGAACAGTTTGGGACGCTTGCGTAGTTTCAAAATGCTTAATTCTTTGGATCTATTGTATTTCACACAGACTGACAAGTGACATCTGGATAATGCATTGCGGTACAAGCTGGCTTGCAGCGCGGATGACTCAAGCATTGATTAATCAGGTAAGAACAAATGATGAAATCAGGGAAAGCTAAGGGAGCTGTGTGAATGAACCTCCTTATGTCAAGAGATAGTGATAGCCACTACAGTTTGTAGAGTCCTTGCTTGCATTCTCTGCCAAAACAGCCCACCTTAACCTCTCTTCAAGTAGGTCAAACAGAAGAAAAAACATTGGTGCTACCACCTGAATGGAACTGTAGTTTACGGAGTGGAGTGTAATGGCCATCTCGTAAGAGCTATGTGATTTAAGCTCACACATCTGATCTCAAGAAGCAGACTAGTGACAGACACTAGATGCTACAATCTTTAGCATAGCATTTTTGTTAGAGTGCCTATTCTCTTTAGTAGAATTGCTAGTTTTAATCTTGGTCTGAGAAGGTCAAGTACAGCCAGACGAGTTACATTAGTGCCGTGACTCATGTGGACATGAAATTTAGGGGGTAAAGTGTAACTGGAAGCCATCTAGAAAGTTCCATATGATTAAATCAATCCCCTCATCTCATAAATGTGCCTGCCACCTACTGTATGACAGGATTGCCAGTTCAAATCCCAGTATAAGCCGGACTTGTCAACACAGAGAGGTTGCATTACTACTATGACCGGGTTTAGTATGGGTTTAGACTCTAGCAGCTATTGTCTGTAGCATTCTTCTTAGTGTACCTACCTCCTATGGTGAAATTGCCAGTTTAAATCCTGCTCAGAGCCGGATGAATAGAACCTGGTGCCGTGACCCAGATGGGTCTCTACTTCAGGTTGAATCTTTATAATCATTCATTCATTTTTTTGTCGGCTTAGTCCCTTTATTAATCCGGGGTCGCCACAGCAGAATGAACCGCCAACTTATCCAGCAGGTTTTTACGCAGCGGATGCCCTTCCAGCCGCAACCCATCTCTGGGAAACATCCACACACACACACATACACATACACTATGGACAATTTAGCCTTCCCAATTCACCTGTACCGCATGTCTTTGGACTGTGGGGGAAACCGGAGCACCTGGATGAAACCCATGCGAACGCAGGGAGAACATGCAAACTCCACACAGAAACGCCAACTGAGCAGAGGTTCGAACCAGCAACCCTGCAACCTTCTTGCTGGAATCTTTATACCATTAAGGTTATTTTAACAAGCAACATAAAGTAATGTTGAAATTGAAATAATCTGTACAAACATCATAAGATGAGCAGCCCCGCCCCCAAACTAACACAATAGGTCAAGCCAGTTTTGAAAGCAATGCAGTGTTTACACATTTTGGGAATGAGGATGCAAATGGCTTGCTTAAAGCTGAATGCACATTTTAAGAACATATTTTAAGCTAAAAAAATACACCTGCACTTTAATTAGCATCAATATAACCCATGCTATAAATCCAGAGGGTATATTATGTATGCCGTTCATTCAGTCCTACACACATTGTTTAGGGATCACTTTCTGTCATGAGACTCATGGACGTTAGTCAAGGTGTATCAGCCAAATAGTAACAGAAAATTATTGCATAAGCTTTCCGACATACACTGATGGAGGATCATTGTTTTGATACAGCAGATTGAACCAGGTGGGTTATGTTGGTGCCGTGACCCAGATGTGTATGAAGTTTCCTTTCATCTCAAAATTACCCTAACAGTAAGCATCCCTCACCTTATCCTAAGAAGTGTATTAGAAGATATGCCAAAGTTAGAAGCTGCAGGATTTAGTGTGTCATGAGGTGTATGCCCACCTCCTACACTATAACTGCTTGTTTGAATATCACTCTGAGTGGGTCGAGAGGAACCAGAGGGTTCCATTTGCATTCTACAGCTGAATTGCTAGTTCAAATTCTGCTCTAAGCAGGTTAAGCATAATTGAATGTGTTACATTGGTGCTGTGACCCGGATGGGAGTGAGGTTTAAGGAGGTGAGACAGACAAGGTTAAGTTCTCCAGCGTCATTTATATTGGGATTGTCATTTCAAATTCTTGCTTAAGACCTGGACGGCTTACACAAGGATGTATTGTATAGACATCTTTAAAGTAATCAATCATCTATATTAAGAGCACTTTAGTGTAAACATGACAGCTAATTTGTTCATTTATTAGTCTGATTTAAATGTGTATAGAGTGGAGCAATCGTTCATCACTGGAAGTGTGAATAAATTGTAAAGATGAGACAAAAATGGCACATTTGTGATGATGATTCTTGTATACATTAGAAAACAGTTCTGAGGAGGCGATGTAAGGGCAACAGCAGAACTTGGAAAGGGGGGTCATTGCCAGACAGATGGGATGCCATCATGGGAGGCGGCTGGGGAAGTGCTGACTGAGCTGGGCCAAACAAAGCATCTAAAGCGTCCAGACAATCCTGGTCCCGACCCAGACCGTCCTGGCACACAGAAAGGCCAGCTCAGTCAGCGACAAGCCCAGTCTCGGAGCCGATGAAAAGATAATTCCCCCCTCGCAGACCACATGCAGCGTGGGGCCGCTTGTGAGCGCTGACAGAGCAAGATCAAGCAGAAAGGATATGAGTGGGAAACTTCAAAACCTGCTCATGTTTCTGGGCCCGTGAAAGGATTTGTATAACACATTCACGTTTGATGGACTTTCCCATGTACCCCAAGACAGCTCTTTTGCTGTTGACGTGTTCAAATAATGAATCTCTTATGCTTAATTTTTTTCCCTCAGAGCAAGGCCGTGTTTCTAGTGGTTTTGCAGGGATGCTGGGTAATCCAGTCAGTCTCGCGCCACAGCTGAGAACAGATGGAGTACCGCTGATTCTACAGCTGCCAGGAAAGCGGGTGAGTCTTCCGAAATAGAGCAAGGGATGCTAGAGCAGATGAAGGGCAAAAGTGGATCGAGGTCAGGGTGAAACACGCAGAACTCTGAGTAAAAGCATCACGGTGTCAAATAGATTTGTGGCTTTTTGAATTTTTGAGCACTTCAGATCAACTCCTCATCATTATTGGCTTTAATTTTATCCGACGGACCAACAAAAGTGTTGCGTTTCTCATTTTTTGTCAGCTTTTCTTCAAACCTAATAGCATAATTACAGAACAATGCCGTCAAATTACCTTTTGAAGCGAGTCTAATCATTTCTTCTCTCATTTCAGAAAAAGAAGCATTTTCTGATGAATCCAAAGAAATCGCTCATACATTGTCTTCCTCAGGAGTTGAAATGGAACGTTTGTGTGTGATTCTCTTGCTTGTAAGTAAAACTTTCATAGCGAATGCTCAATTCAATGGGTTCAACTGTGATGCCAACTTCCACAGCCGCTTCCCCGGTGAGTGGGTGCTTTCTCTTTATTGTGTGCAAGCGTTCAATCGCTGACATGTAATTAATGATATTTTACTCTCTCTACCCACAGCCGAGCGGGACATCAGTGTGTATTGTGGAGTTCAAACCATAACTCTGAAGATTAATTTTTGCCCGGTGCTTTTTTCTGGCTACACTGACACTGACCTGGCATTGAATGGGCGTCACGGGGATGCCCACTGCAGAGGCTTCATCAACAACAACACGTTCCCCACGGTTGTGCTGTTTAGCATCAGTCTCAACACCCTGGAGTCTTGCGGAAACTCACTGGTGGTAAGAAACTGCCATTTTTAAAAGCTTATGTCAGAAGAACAGAATAATTGACTCACATTAGCTCCTAAATGGCCCAGAACTTGAATTCCAGGTTCAGTCATTAGTACGAAAACCACATTTGTTCCAGTAAACAGCTTGTGTTTGGAGAGAAGGTATTCTCTCTATGACAATTTGGCTATAATAAATGAAGAACATCTGCGGTGAGCTGGATTTATCTTTGCTTGGGTGACAGCAGAGATCTGGTGTTGAGGAAAGGGCTGAGGATTAGGGAGGTGAAGGTACATTAGTTTCTGGAAGCGCAATCATAGTTTAGTTCCCCTGTGTCGGCAGGTCTCTACGGCTCATGGGCCCAACGCCTATGGGAATCTTTCCCTGGTCCAGATTGGGAATATAGCAGGATACATTGACACTCCGGATCCCCCGACCGTCATCAGTTACCTACCAGGACTGCTTTACAAGTTCAGTTGTAGCTACCCGCTGGAATACCTGGTCAACAACACACAGCTTGCTTCGTAAGTCTTCTTTATCAGCGCATGCATTCCAGTCTTGATGCATTATCGTGTCCTAATGCATGCTAAATTATTCATAGCACTTTTGAGGTAAGATAAAAAACACGTTGTAAAATATTTAGCATTTATAGTTTCGATTTAACGAGCTTGATTGTGAGGCGTAATTAAATTAGCATGCACAACGAATAAGTTGTAAAAGCTAATGCACGGTTGATTACAAGGACATCAGACAGTAAATCAGGAAAAGCCATTACACAAGTTTTCCTTTCAGACTTAATTGGCCTGCAAAATATATTTATCGTGTTTTAATAGCTTCTTTTGTTCGAAGGTCGGCCGCAGCGATATCAGTGAAGGACAGTAATGGTACTTTTGTGAGCACGCTCAATTTGCTTCTATATAACGTGAGTACATCGATACTGTTTCTAATTGAGCATTTGTTTGGTTCTTTATATAGAGAACTATCTACATTATTTGCACTGTGTTCAAAGTGTTCAGTGGGGAAATATATTGTAATATTGTTTGATTAGTTTCATTTGACATCATTCATATTGTTTACTGTCATCATGGCAAAGATAAAATAAATCAGTTATTAGAATTGAGTTATTAAAACTATTATGTTTAGAAATGTTTAGAAAAATTCTTCTCTCCGTTAAACAGAAATTGAAGGAAAAAAAAAAAAGGGGGGGGGGGGGGCTAATAATTCTGACTTCAGCTGTATGTATATATATATATATATATATATATATATATATATATATATATATATATATATATATATATATATATATATATATATATATATTACAGACCTGAAACTTGCCTATAGCACTTATTCATTGTTGCTCTTATAGTTGTGTAAGTTGCTTCCTTGTCCTCATTTGTAAGTCGCTTTGGATAAAAGCGTCTGCTAAATGACTAAATGTAAATGTAAATATATATATATATATATATATATATATATATATATATATATATATATATATATATATATATATATATATATATATATATATATATATATATATATGCTTTTTAAAATTAGATTTTGCTTATCTCTGGTAAGTAATCTTTTTCATTATTTTTTAAATTATTCTTAGTTTTAAAAAAGAAAATATAATAATAATAAAAACATGAAGAAGATTTGTTTCTTATCTTTATCATTGTTTATTTCTTAAATAAATTTTAAAGAATAAAAATAATGATTTATTTATTTAAATCTATTATTATTTTTTGTATAGCTTATTTTATTGTTAGATTATGATTATATTTACTTTATTTCTATATTAAAGACTTTATTATTAATCTCAAATTTCTAATGATTTATTATTCATTTTTTAGACTTAAAATAATAATATAAACAGTTAAAGTGAGAATTATTAGCCCCCCTTTGGTTTTTTTTTTTTTATTTCTTTTTCAATATTTCCCAAATAATGTTTAACAGAGCAAGGACATTTTTACAGTATGTCTGATAGTATTTTTTCTTCTGGAGAAAGTCTTATTTGTTTTACTTCAGCTAGAATAAAAGCAGTTTAAATTAAAAAAAAAAACATTTTAAGGTAAAAATTATTAGCCCCTCTAAGCTATTTTTTTTCTCGATAGTCTACAGAACAAACCATCGTTATACAATAACTTGCGTAATTATCCTGGCTAGTTAACCTACATTTTTATATTTATACAATTATTATTATTATTATTATTATTATTATTATTATTATTATTATTATTATTGATGGTTTTCTTTAGTGAATATATGTATGGGATTATAATCTGTGGCATTCAATATTTCAGGACTCCTCATACATTCAGAACCTCGCCATCCCAATGTCTGGACTTACTCTGAAGACGCGAGTGTTCGCCGCTGTAAAAGCCACCAACCTAGATAGGAGGTAAAGCAGTTGACCACAAAACAAAACAAAAAATCAAGACCCAAATGCAAACATATGGTACTCAACACTCAGTCCAATTACAAACTTCGCCATGAAACCCAGTGAAAGTCAAATGTAAACTGAGACTTAAGTCACTTCACTAATTGACCATCTGATGTATCCAGACCTAGTTTAGCCTATTAAATGGAGAATGCTGTGCGACTCACTCAATGCTGGCCTTGTTTAGAGCCAGCAAGGGGCGCCACTAAAGTCAATGGGAAAGATTATTATGGGTCCCATGTAGAGATAAGAAACATGGCTTCTATATGAAACACAACAGTTTGGTCTTAAAGGGTTGTTTCGTATTCAAGCATGTCAATCCCCACAGGTGGAACGTTCTGATGGACTACTGTTACACCACTCCCTCTGGAAATCCTAATGATGAGCTGCGATATGATCTTTTCTTTGGGTAATTCTTTGCCATATATGTGTGTGTGTGTGTGTGTGAGCTGAATGCTAAGTGTATCTGACCTCCAATCCAGCAGATGCGATAAGGACCCACAGACGACGGTGTTTGAGAACGGGAAGAGCCAGATGGGTCGCTTCTCCTTTGAGGTGTTTCGCTTTGTCAAGCACAAAAACCAGAAAATGTCGACTGTTTTTCTGCACTGCGTGACCAAGCTGTGTCGCTCTGATGACTGCCCCATGCTCCTGCCCGTAAGGATGGCCACTTCAGACAAATAGTATGGGGAAAACAACATGATTGGGTCATACTTCATCCTGATACCTGAAGAAAAACAAAGGATATTGTATTTTGGTGAAAAGAATTGAGAGAAATTAATTTGCTTTTGGATTGTTACACTCTTAAAAAATATTTGTATATACTCAATATACTCAATTTTGATTTATTTGAAAAATAATTAGATCTTTTTTTTATTTCAGATGTACATAGTTTTTGAAATACAACTTCTGTGCTCACTATTTGTGCTCTATTTTTTTGATCAAAGATAAAAAGTCAAATATAAAAATATCAAAATTAAAACGTGTACTATTGTGAAATATTATTACCCCTTTCACAAGCCTGTTATGATGCGTTTTCGATCATCATAATCTTAAATCCATGAAAATTTGTAATATTTAGATTGTTTTTATTGTTTGAACATTTATATGTATTTATATATGTATTACATCAGCTTTGCGTCAAATTACAAAAAAACTAATAACCACTTATGCAAGCTGTTTGTAATGCAGTGTTTATGGGGCTGAAAGTAAATGGATGTTATCCTCTCCTCTGGTTTCCGCCATCAGTCTCACACAATTTTGTTTTTCCTTTTTTTTAAAGTCTTAATAACACCATTGGGGAGTTTTTCTTTTATTATTTCAGCAAATAGGATTGTAAAAAAAATATTTGTTGTACTCTCCCATTCACTGTGCTATAATTTTACCCAGCTATGACACCTTCATTTACTGACAAACCCAATAATGTGAAAAGGGTCTATAGAAAATTGCAGGTTTTCTATGTTAATACACTCCAAAATGTATTTTTATAGTAGTTTTAGGTGTTTCAATTTAAGTTAAAAGCAATTTTAAATTAGATTTTATTTATTGAAGTAGCAAAAACAATTACAATTTTATGTTTTAGTTACTTTAGTCTCCATTTAAAATGTTCAAACATGACTTATTAAAGGAACAGGTCACCAAAAATTAACATTCTGTCATAATTTACTAAGCCTTACTATTCCAAACACAAAACAGATATTTTGAAGAATGTTGAAAAACCTGCAACCATCGACATGCATAGCAGTAAAAATAAATACTATGGGAGTCAATGGTTTAATATCTTCTTTAATAGATCATCTTTTGATGTGTTCAAACTAGTGTGGAACAAGTCAAGAGTGAGAACTTGAAGACAGAATTTTCAGATTTTTTGGTCACACTTTATTTTGATGGTCTGTTTGTTGAGTTTAAGTTACATTGCATCTACATGCCAACTAATTCTCATTAGATTAAATGTAGACTGTTAGGTTGGGGTTGGGGGTAGGGTTAAGGTTATTGTTAGTTGATATGTAATTGTATAAGTTTCTTATAGTCAGTTAAATGTCTGTTGAAGGAGCATATTAACATTAGACAGTCTATACTCAATATGGACTATCAAAATAAAGTGGTACCGTTTTTTTTTTTTACTCTTTTCTTGAATACAATGCTCAACATAATTGAGGACACCTCATTTTGAAAATTAATATTTTTTTCAGTGAACATAGGCAATGTATTTTGGTATAACAGATTTACTAAACAGATATATTTATTAAAATAATATTTTAGTCACAAAACATATTTAGAAATAGAAAGAAATTACAATTAATATCAAGCAAAATATTGCAAAAAAAAAAATAAACAAACTAAACTTCAATATTTTTGTTTTCTTTTTTTCTTTTTTAAAATTTTGTATTTAATATTTTTCTATAGCATATAAATTTGGGTGTACTAGTTTTCGAACCGTTATCGCAAGTTATTTTGTTATTGAAGCTCCAGATTTGGCCTCAGTATTGACTAATCTAATGTATAGGCACCAATATAATATTGTACAGCTTCCTATTAAAAATATGAATTTACAAGATAAATTTATGAGAGGCATACTCATATATGCTGAGCACTGCTTTTCAAAAAGCACATAAGCTTAAACTCAGGTCTGTGTTTATTTGTTACAAATATTGTCTTCCTGACAGATCTGCGGTAAGAGGAAGAAAAGGGATGTGTCAGAAAGAAGCGGTGGTGCCTCAGACAATGCAGTTATAACCGCTGGACCCATCATCACCCGAAGTGGTATGATATCAACTGCAGAATATTGTTTGTGTGTGTGTGTGTGTGTGTGTGTGTACAATGCTGAAGGCTATGATTTCCACTAAAAAGCAAACTTTGAGTCTAAAGCGTGTTGACTTGGAAGTACAGCATAAAGAGTGCTATATCTAAACTCTCCAGCAATCATATTCTGTTTATCATCAAAATCAGCTTATCACACAAGTTCTCATGTTTACGTCACAAATACCATTCATTTTAGCCATAACAACCAGTACATTTGAAAGGTTTCAATAGTGTTTTAGGACATAATCCATTAGCATTTATCTGTTTTAGCATGCCACCACTAGAAGACAAAAAAAAAAAAAAAACATTTTCCAGTAGAGACCAAAAATGGCAATTGCAATATCAGTTAAAAACATTATAATTTCCCCTCAAATGACCATTACAACTTCTGTGATGGTTTCTATTGTTATTTTTCAGCATTGATGTGTATGATTCAGCACTTTGACTTATTTTAAGTGTGCTAAAACAATTTTCCTCTGTCCACAGATGAAACTCCCGGTAATATATCCCAACTAGGTAAGCCTTCTTTTCATCCTCCTCCGTTTTACGCTTTTAAAAGAAGACAGCTTAATCCTTCTATCTCAGAGCTGTAGCATTTCTGATGGAGGATAAAAGCATGGTTTACTCCCTCACAAAAATATATAGGGGGCGAAAAAAAACATGTAGCAGCTTAAAACCGTGAGCAAAATACTGATGAGTCGGATGGTTTCCAACAGTGAGAAGTTAATAGAGGGTAGAAGCAGGTGGTGTTATCAAGAAATGAACCAGAGGATTGAAAGAAAGAGTGTGCGATAGTGTTTGAAGGCTGTATGAAGTCTTTCTAACACTCTTTTGTAAATGTGTGTGTGTGTGTCTGTCTGTGTTTCAGCGCAGTTAAACGGCCCTCCATTCAAAATGAATTCAGTGACGAGCGCTTTAATTTCTGCCATCGCGATCCTCGCCGTTATGAGCATGTGTTTCTTCATCTTGTCTATGTCGCTGCTGAGGGGAAAACAGACGCCAGCAACATCTCTATCAGGATCCCACAACCCAGCGTTCAGCTAAATGCAAACACACACACACATATATATGACTGTTCATTCAGCTAAACAATAGCACAATACCCATGTGCAGAGCTCTTCGGTTACAAACTCATGCAGTACAGGGAAATAATATCATGATATCACTCTACACAGCCTTTAGCTAGGTACAGTTGCCTTTATTTGTTACAAAGCAACTTAACACATAACACACAATTAAACAATAAGTCTTTAAAATAGTTCTCAAGCAGGAATGATGCCTGGTTTTAGACTCATTTTAATTGTTTATGTAATGTTATTTTATTTTATGAAATGTAATTTCAACAAAACCACATGAGATTCCAGTTAAACCTTTTAAACACATGAACACCAAAAGACTATTGATGTTTTTGGAAAACATTACCAGTGGAATAAGTTGATAATGGTTTATAATGGATTTTTAAAATGGCCTTGGTAAATCAAAAACTAAATTTACATCCACACCACAAGGTGTCAGTATCCAAGGACTTTTTTTACATCAGCGCTGGCTCATGAAGTATTTCGTCCCTTTTAATTTTTCAATGGGGATTTAAAAAGTCTCTGTAAAAGCATTTTAAGTCATGAAGCAAATCAATTAAACAAATAATACATTTTAAGCAACATCGTGAATTAAAATTTGAACGAAAAAGTTCTTGGACTTCAGGACATGAAGAAGAAAAAAAATGTATAGTACAATGAAGCATTGCAAAATAAAAAAATAATATTGGTAAAAAAAAAAAAAAAAAAAAAAAAAAATATATATATATATATATATATATATATATACAATTTATATACACTCACATTTACTGGCCACTTTATTATGTATTACCCTACTAGTACCGGGTTGGACCACCTTTTGCCTTCAGAACTGCCTTCATGAATACTTCATGGCATAGGTTCAACAAGGAATTAGAAATATTCCTTAGAGATTTTGGTCCGTATTGAGAGGATAGCATCACACAGTTGCTGCAGATTTGTCGGCTGCACATCCATAATGTGAATCTCCCGTTCCACCACATCCCAAAGGTGCTCTATTGGATTGAGAGCTGGTGACTGTGGAGGCCATTTGAGTACATTGAACTTGTTGTCATGTTCAAGAAACCAGTCTGAGATGATTCACGCTTCATGCCAAGGTGCAATATCCTGCTGAAAGTAGCCATCAAAAGATGGTTACACTGTGGTCATAAAGGGATAAGGACAAGGTGGACAAGGTCAGCTACAATACTCAGGTAGGCTGTGGCGATGACACGATGCTCAAATGGTGCTAATGGACCCAAAGTGTGCCAAGAAAATATCCCCTACACTATTACACCACCACCAGCAGCCTGAACATTGATACAAAGGAGAATGGATCCATGCTTTCATGTTTTTGACGCCAAATTCTGACCCTACCATCTGAATGTCACAACAAGAAATCGAAAATTGTCAGACCAGGCAACGTTTTTCCAATCTTCCATTGTTCAACTTTGGTGAGTCTTTGTGAATTGTAGCCTCAGTTTCCTGTTCTTAGCTGACAGTGCTGGCACTGGCACTGTGGTCTTCTGCTGCTGTAGCTCATCTGCCTCAAGGTTTGATGTTTTGAGTGTTCAGAGAAGCTCTTCTGCATACCTCAGTTGTAACGAGTGGTTATTTAAGTTAATGTTGCCTTTCTATCAGCTCGAACCAGTCTGATCTCTGGAATCAACATGGCATTTGCACTAACAAAACTGCCACTCTTTATATATGTTCTCTTTGTTGGACCATTCTCTGTAAACCCTAGAGATGGTTGAGCGTGAAAATCCCAGTAGATTAGCGGTTTCTGAAATATTCAGACCAGCCCGTCTGGCACCAACAACCATGTCACGTTCAAAGTCACTTAAATCTCCTTGCTTAACCATTCTGGTGCTCGGTTTGAACTGCAGCACATCATCTTGACCAGGGATGTCCAAATTTGGTCCTGGAGGGCCGGAGTTCAGCATTAACTTTAGCTTAAACTTCCTTCAACGTACCTCTCAGGAAGTTTCTAGTATGCCTAGAAAGAGCTTGATTAGCTGGTTCAGGTGTGTTTAATAAGGGTTGGAACTAAAATATGCAGGACACTGGCCCTCCAGGGCCGAGTTTACACACCCCTGGTCTTGACAATGTCTACATGCCTAAATGCATTTAGTTTCTGCCATGTGATTGGCTGATTAGACATTTTCGGTAATAAGCAGTTGGACAGGTGTACCTAATAAAGTGGCCGTGTGTATGTACTACATATACTATACCATACTATATATATTTGATACGATTTATGGTGCTTCATGGAAGTGGGCGAGGCTAAATTTATCTTTTTTTTCCTCACTGAGAGACGCTGATTGGTGAAAATATCTGTACAGCTTCATGGGTAATGTAGATTTCTGCACAAATTCCATGATTTCACACAACTGTTTTTATAAAAAAACAAGATAAATTTATGCTACAAATTATGGTCAGAGTTTATTTTGATGGTCCGTTTGTTGAATATAAGTTACATTGCATCTACATGCCAACTAATTCTCATTAGATTGTTATTAGGTTGGGGTTAGGGTTAGTGTAAGCTGCCATGTACTTAAAGTTTCTAATTGTCAGTTAAATGTTTGTTTAAGGAGCAGTATCAACAGATATTAAGTAGACAGTCTACTAATGCTCAAATAGACCTTCAAAATAAAGTGTTACCCAAATTAATTTAACAAAAGCATTTACAATCAATTAATGAACTGAGATGTTTTTTTTTTTTAAATAACAATTTCTCTATGGAGAAAAGTAATGGACTTTTTAAAAGTCAAACCGAAATTTTTGCCCTGTATAGTTAAAATTGTCCACCTTTGTGATCAAATTTGTCAATCAGATCATCTTCTTTCATGCCAGAGTATTAGTTTAATCACAATATTGGTAAGCAAACTGGCTAAAGCATGTGTTAATATAATGAACACATGCCGTTTAATGGCAAAGCACTGACATCTGTATCCATGTACTTGTGTAAAGTATATTTCTTGGCCTAAATGGATAGTTTACACTTTTCATATCATTTACTCACCCCAGTCATGTTTGGATTTTGGTTCCCACTGATATTGTCTGTTGTGTCCTGCTTAAGAAAAAAAAGTCAGAGGTTAGAAATCTTTTTTTGTTTTCATACTTTCCACACCACATTTGATTTCAGTCTTGAAATCAAACCTGAATCACATGGCGATCATAGTGATGATCATAGAGTAACACAAACATTCATAGAATTATTTTGAATACTCATTTATTTAATTGCACTTTTAAATGAACTGATCAGCAGAGATATTCACGTATTTATTTTAAATGTCAACCGATCTGGATCTGTTGGTGCAGTGTTTAACGTAAAGTCAATACCTCGCTACATTATTAGAGGGGTTAAGATCAGTTACATGAAGAACGTAAGCAGAGGTATCTAATAGACCCTGCCCAACACATATTTCTAGTTTAGTGAGAATATCAGAGGACGGAATGTGAGGAGTCTATTCATCGCAACAGCACAAAGGATCATGGGACACCAGTGATTCTGAGTGCATCACTCTCTGCAATAATTAGTTTGAGTTACAAGAGCTGAGAGAAAGAGAGAGAGAGAGAGAGACCATAGGGAATGAATTTAATTAAGTCGAACAGAAACCTAGATCACTATGCTATGCGGCTGAGGTGAATGGGAAGACTATTTAAGATATTTTTAGATTTAATTAATTGTATTTGTTTTTACTCATTAGTATTCATGTGATGCTGATTAGCAGTTAGTTTCTCATACTCTAATATTCGCTGTTAGCTCTTCCATTTTTAAACTGTTATTAAAGATACTTGTATTGAATTTATGACCAAGATAATTTAATTAAATTTAACAACCCATGTTATTATCCCCCCAAACACGCATTTGTATTGCTGTAGGTTTTTAATCTCCTCATTTTTAACAATAAAGAACACTCTGAAGATATTTTGTTGTTTTTTTCTGTAATAACTACTGTACAAAACGCAGAGGGATCTCTTAATTCAATGTTGTCATGCTGAGGAAAGCAAGCTCTTCACAATGGATGTAATCATAACGACGCCAGCGAAACAAAGGGCCCGGATCCGTAACAGACCTTAAAAGACTTCCAGGCTTATCATCAGTGACATCAGTGACAAATATTAATGTCACATTCATTACTGTCAGGTCTTTGGCAGTAATGAATGAACAGTCCAATTCAATCTGAGGATTCTGTGTACACAATGGAAGGGAGGAGATGCAATGTTCTTTCTGGATAAGCAAACAATTCATTAAACTCCCAGGAAAAAAGCTGTTGTTCAACATATTGAAATATTGTATACGTATAAAATGACATTTCCGTATAAATTCGAAACCATCATATTAACATATTAGCATTAATGTGCATTATGTAAGAATGTTGCAGTATTGGTTTCAATGCTGGAGGGTTCCCATAGTGAAATTCAAGTATGCCCTTTTTAAATAAAAGCTCCAGCTTTGTTCCTGACATGAATTTTCTAGTTTTACGATATACTCATGTGCCATAAAGAAGGATTGTGTGTCAGTAGACAATACGGATTAGACTTGTAAATCATACAGGTCCAGCCTTTGGCAGAGGGAAAAGCCATACTGAATCCTAATGACAGAAACATGCTGAAAGGACTCTCATGAATGCAAATAAAATAACAGAATTCGGTTCCACTTTATATTAGGTGGCCATAACTACTATGTACTTGCATCAAAAAAATAAATACAATGTACCTAATGTTTCAAAATGTATTGCAGAACATGTCTACCAATACAATCAATCATAAATACATAAATACATGTTACAAATGATTAATTTCAGTGTAAATATATATTAGTTAGGGCCTAATTGTTACTTCACTTAAAAAAAATCTTTTGAATCATTGAATAATTAACTTATTTTCACTTTTGACCAATTTAATTAACCAGTGTTGAAATAAATCATGAATAAATGTTAAACTATTTCTGATATATAAAATATTTCTTATTACATTATCAATACATCAAAACATAATTTGTTGCCAACTAGAGATCTACATAGGGCTGAATTTTTGGTCCCACTCCTGTCTGCTCCTGCCAGGTTTTATTCCGCACCCTTTATATGTTCAGCCTTTGTTCACCTGCTGCCCGCCCCGCCCCATTTTCTACATGACCTGCTAAATTTAGAAATGGTTTTCAAAATCTCAACGTAAAATTGGGTACTACCAAAAGAGAGATAACAGATAAAACTGTAGGTTTTGCAAGTACTGTAGGCTAAATGTCAGTTCCCCTTCGGGGGGAACTTCAGCACTATAAGTGGATTTGATTTGTAAAATCCACGCATTGGGAGGTTCGGTTCAGAAGCTACTCGTCTGAAAGAGTATTGAACGGGCCAATTAAGAATGAATTGGCAGCGCAAGCCTGCGCAGGTGAGCGGCATAAGCAATCAACTGAGTATATAAGCTCACCTGGCGCCAGCAGACGCTATCCTTTTCGCTTCAGAGACTTTCTGATCGAGTCGATGAGGGTTCCTCCTGCTGTGACCAGCGATTCTGAGCGAACGAGAGCATTCTCCCGGTCCAGAGTGTGTACACGCAGTGGCAGACGGTCGAGCTGGGTTTCTCCCTTGCCTGGCGTTCTTTGGGTCCGGTCCTCCAGAGCGGTGCGTATAAAGTTGCAAACTTCACAGAAAGAGCAACACAGTCGTGC